GGTCCAGTGTGAGTCTGTGGGTCTGTGTGAGTCTGTGGGTCTGTGTGAGTCTGTGGGTCTCAGTGTGAGTCTGTGGGTCTGTGTGAGTCTGTGGGTCTCAGTGTGAGTCTGTGGGTCTCAGTGTGAGTCTGTGGGTCTCAGTGTGAGTCTGTGGGTCTGTGTGAGTCTGTGGGTCTCAGTGTGAGTCTGTGGGTCTGTGTGAGTCTGTGGGTCTCAGTGTGAGTCTGTGGGTCTGTGTGTGTCTGTGGGTCTCAGTGTGAGTCTGTGGGTCTCAGTGTGAGTCTGTGGGTCTCAGTGTGAGTCTGTGGGTCCAGTGTGAGTCTGTGGGTCCAGTGTGAGTCTGTGGGTCTGTGTGAGTCTGTGGGTCTCAGTGTGAGTCTGTGGGTCTCAGTGTGAGTCTGTGGGTCTCAGTGTGAGTCTGTGGGTCCCAGTGTGAGTCTGTGGGTCTCAGTGTGAGTCTGTGGGTCTCAGTGTGAGTCTGTGGGTCTCAGTGTGAGTGTGGGTCTGTGTGAGTCTGTGGGTCTCAGTGTGAGTCTGTGGGTCTCAGTGTGAGTCTGTGGGTCTCAGTGTGAGTCTGTGGGTCTCAGTGTGAGTCTGTGGGTCCCAGTGTGAGTCTGTGGGTCTCAGTGTGAGTCTGTGGGTCTCAGTGTGAGTCTGTGGGTCCCAGTGTGAGTCTGTGGGTCTCTATGTGAGTCTGTGGGTCTGTGTGAGTCTGTGGGTCTCAGTGTGAGTCTGTGGGTCTCTATGTGAGTCTGTGGGTCTGTGTGAGTCTGTGGGTCTCCGGCGAGTCTGTGGGTCCCAGTGTGAGTCTGTGGGTCCCAGTGTGAGTCTGTGGGTCTCAGTGTGAGTCTGTGGGTCCCAGTGCGAGTCTGTGGGTCTCAGTGTGAGTCTGTGGGTCTCAGTGTGAGTCTGTGGGTCTCAGTGTGAGTCTGTGGGTCTCAGTGTGAGTCTGTGGGTCCCAGTGTGAGTCTGTGGGTCTCAGTGCGAGTCTGTGGGTCTCAGTGTGAGTCTGTGGGTCTCTATGTGAGTCTGTGGGTCCCAGTGTGAGTCTGTGGGTCTGTGTGAGTCTGTGGGTCTCCGGCGAGTCTGTGGGTCTCAGTGTGAGTCTGTGGGTCTCAGTGTGAGTCTGTGGGTCCCAGTGTGAGTCTGTGGGTCCCAGTGTGAGTCTGTGGGTCTCAGTGCGAGTCTGTGGGTCTCAGTGTGAGTCTGTGGGTCCCAGTGTGAGTCTGTGGGTCTGTGTGAGTCTGTGGGTCTCAGTGTGAGTCTGTGGGTCTCAGTGTGAGTCTGTGGGTCTCTATGTGAGTCTGTGGGTCTCAGTGTGAGTCTGTGGGTCTCAGTGTGAGTCTGTGGGTCTCTATGTGAGTCTGTGGGTCCCAGTGTGAGTCTGTGGGTCCCAGTGTGAGTCTGTGGGTCTCTATGTGAGTCTGTGGGTCCCAGTGTGAGTCTGTGGGTCTCTATGTGAGTCTGTGGGTCTCTATGTGAGTCTGTGGTCTCAGTGTGAGTCTGTGGGTCCCAGTGTGAGTCTGTGGGTCCCAGTGTGAGTCTGTGGGTCTCAGTGTGAGTCTGTGGGTCTCTATGTGAGGTCTGTGGGTCCCGTGTGAGTCTGTGGGTCTCAGTGTGAGTCCTGTGAGGTCTGTGTGAGTCTGTGGGTCTCAAGTGTGAGTCCTGTGGTTCCCAGTGTGAGTCTGTGGGTCTGTGTGAGTCTGTGGGTCTGTGTGAGTCTGTGGGTCTCAGTGTGAGTCTGTGGGGGCTGTGTGAGTCTGTGGGTCTCAGTGGGAGTTCTGTGGGTCTCAGTGTGAGTCTGTGGGTCTCAGTGTGAGTCCTGTGGGTCCTGTGTGGAGTCTGTGGGTCTCAGTGTGGAGTCTGTGGGTCTGTGGTGAGTCTGTGGGTCTCAGTGTGAAGTCTGTGGGTCTGTGTGTGTCTGTGGGTCTCAGTGTGGAGTCTGTCTGTGGGTCTCAGTGTGAGTCTGTGGGTCTCAGTGTGAGTCTGTGGTCCAGGGTGAGTCTGTGGGGTCCCAGTGTGAGTCTGTGGGTCTGTGTGAGTCTGTGGGGTCTCAGTGGTGGAGTCTGTGGGTCTCAGTGTGAGTCTGTGGGTCTCAGTGTGAGTCTGTGGGGTGCCCAGTGTGAGTCTGTGGGTCTCAGTGTGAGTCTGTGGGTTCTCAGTGTGAGTCTGTGGGTCTCAGTGTGGAGTCTGTGGGTCTGTGTGAGTCTGTGGGTCCTCAGTGTGAGTCTGTGGGTCTCAGTGTGAGTCTGTGGGTCTCAGTGGTGGTCTGTGGGTCTCAGTGTGAGTCTGTGGGTCTCAGTGTGAGTCTGTGGGTCCCCAGTGTGAGTCTGTGGTCTCAGTGTGAGTCTGTGGGTCCCAGTGGAGTCTGTGGTCTCAGTGTGAGTCTGTGGGTCTCAGTGTGAGTCTGTGGGTCTCAGTGTGAGTCTGTGGGGTCTCAGTGGGAGTCTGTGGGTCCCAGTGTGAGTCTGTGGGTCCCAGTGTGAGTCTGTGGGTCTCAGTGTGAGTCTGTGGGTCCCAGTGTGAGTCCTGTGGGTCTCAGTGTGAGTCTGTGGGTCCAGTGTGAGTCTGTGGGTCCCAGGTGGGAGTCTGTGGTCTCTAGTGAGTCGGTGGGTTCCCAGTGTGAGTCTGTGGGTCCGAGTCTGTGGTCCCAGTGTGAGTCTGTGGGTCTCAGTGTGAGTCTGTGGGGTCTCAGTGGGAGTCTGTGGGTCTCAGTGTGAGGTCCTGTTGGGTCCCAGTGTGAGTCTGTGGGTCTCATGTGAGTCTGGTGGGTCTCAGTGTGAGTCTGTGGTCTGTGTGAGTCTGTGGGTCTCAGTGTGAGTCTGTGGGTCTCCGGCGAGTCTGTGGGTCTCAGGTGAGTCTGTGGGTCCCAGTGTGAGTCTGTGGTCCTCAGTGTGAGTCTGTGGGTCCCAGTGTGAGTCGTGGGTCTCCGGCGAGTCTGTGGGTCCCAGTGTGAGTCTGTGGGTCCCAGTGTGAGTCTGTGGGGTCTCAGTGTGAGTCTGTGGGGTCTCAGTGTGAGTCTGTGGGTCTCAGTGTGAGTCTGTGGGGTCCTCAGTGTGAGTCGGTGGGGTCTCAGTGTGAGTCTGTGGGTCCCAGTGTGAGTCTGTGGGTCCCAGTGTGAGTCTGTGGGTCTGTGTGAGTCTGTGGGTCTCCGGCGAGTCTGTGGGTCTCAGTGTGAGTCTGTGGGTCTCAGTGTGAGTCTGTGGGTCTCAGTGTGAGTCTGTGGGTCTCAGTGTGAGTCTGTGGGTCTCAGTGTGAGTCTGTGAGTCTGTGTGTTGGAAGTTTCCCACTACGAAGCCAACCGCGCCAAACGAATTCACGACCCCAGGCACCGATGTCCAGCATATTCTCACAAGGTGAAAATGCCGTTTGTCAATCCACTACTGGACAGGGGGCCTCCCGCGCTCACCCTTCTCGGGGATCATTCGACCGCACTTCACCGAAATGGGTCAACGCGGGTTGATTTGTGTCACCGGTGGGTCGTTCCCACGTGCAGCGCCGCCGTGAGGCAGCGTGGACGACGAAAAGCGTCAGCGGTGCACGGCTTCGGTCATCCCTTGCCTTTTGTTTTAAATGCCAGAACGTGTGGAGGAAGGAAGTGAACAATGTGGTATATTGTACGCGCCGCCGCAACCTTCACCGTCATGGGGTCTGGACAATCGCCCGGGCTTTCTGATACCAGAAGACGTGCGTGTGTGTGTGCGTGCGTGTGTGTACGTGTGTGTGTGTGTGCGTGTGTGTGTGTGGGGAGCGGTGGTGTAGTGGTTAGTGCGCTGTGTGCGTGCGCGTGTGTGTGTGTGCGTGTGTGTGTGCGTACGTGTGTGTGCGTACGTGTGTGTGTGGAGAGCGGTGGTGTAGTGGTTAGTGCGCTGTGTGTGTGAGTGTGTGGGGAGCGGTGGTGTAGTGGTTAGTGCACTGTGTGTGTGAGTGTGGGGAGCGGTGGTGTAGTGGTTAGTGCGCTGTGTGTGAGTGTGTGGGGAGCGGTGGTGTAGTGGTTAGTGCGCTGTGTGTGAGTGTGTGGGGAGCGGTGGTGTAGTGGTTAGTGTGCTGTGTGTGTGTGTGGGGAGCGGTGGTGTAGCGGTTAGCGCGCTGCGCTATGAACCCGGCGACACGGGTTCGATTCCCGCTCACGGCCAATACCAGTAACGATATCTGAACCGGTCCCGGGGCTCCCCTAGGTCGACTCGGCCTCAAATGAGTACCTGGTGCAGTGTGTAAACATCACCTCTGGGGAGACAAAGGCGGTCGGGCATGGTGCTGGCCACCCACCCCCTCGTGTGCCATTCCGGCCTTAATAGGTGCTCGCTAACAGCACTTGCCCCTACAGTCTGTGAAGGCTATACGGGGGATCTTTGTCTTTATCTTTGTGTGCAGTAGAAGCCGTCTTAACAGGCACCACTGTTAACGATTAATCGCTTAATAACGGGGCTTCAGAGAGCTTGGTGTGTTGTATATTGTAGTGTATAGTGTAGTGTGTAGTGTAGTGTATAGTAGTGTATTGTAGTGTATAGTAGTGTGTAGTGTATAGTAGTGTAGTGTATAGTGTAGTGTAGTGCCTCCATAGAGCCCAGTGTGATTGCTTACCGACCATTCCCCCGTGAACGATGGGCTGCTGTAGATACAGTAAACATGAACTAATGCATGGATTAACCACGTTTCTTATAAAATTGTGTTTATTACGTTGTTAGTGTCTTTGTGTGTTATCCATTGTTTAAATAATATAAAGTAGGTTTTTTTGGGTGAAAAAAGGGGGGGGGGAACGTTTGATGCCATCGGAACAAATTGAGCCTTGAAACGTGCATCTCCTAGACTCGCTTAACGAACCAATCGCTTCACGGCCGGTTTCGTTGGAACCAATGACCGCGGTTAAGAGAAGGGGGCCTTCTCCTATGCACCGCGCTGCAACGGCAACGCTGCGTTGCTCTTCATTGCTGCCCGCCACTCCGCTTGCTTTACCCCGGGAGAGTTTCGCCGAGCCTCGATGAGACTTTTTAGCGGGGATGGCCGCCTGTCAGCCGCTGCGAATCTCGTCACGGGTGTTGGTGGCCGTGAGCGGGAATCGAACTCGGGCCGCCGGGTTCGTAGGACCCCCACACACGCACGCAGCGAACCTCGCGAAAACTCGTCTAGGCGAGGACGTACGGCGCGAATGGCAAACCCCGCTCAAACTGTTTTCGTAAAACTTCATAATACAGTGATACCTCGGTTCACGAACTTAATTCGTGAACTGACTCTGGTCGTGAACCGAATTGGTCGTGAATCGAGGCACATTTTCCCATAGGGTTCAATGTAAATCCGGTTAATCCGTTCTGACCTTTATTTTTGGTTTTTGAAGCACAAAAATATGAAACAAATGACAATACACATTACTGTAGTACTGTACAGTATAGTAATGTATAAAGAGAGAACACTAACCTTGCTTGAGATGACTTCTGGCATGGAGGAAGGCAGGTGGGAGGCGGGTGGGAGACAGTAAGCACTCAAACGGGTGAACTGTACAATACAGTAAGTACAGTATTGTACAGTACAGTAGTACAGTACAGTACTGTATGTGCTAAAAAGCACACCAAAAATCAAAAGTCACTGAAAGTGTCTTCACAGTACTCACAGTACTTCTTTCTGTGTCTCTGCTTCTCTCCACGATCTTCCTACAGGAAGTCACGACCACGTGACAGCCTGGAATTAGCATAAAAATGGCCGCGGCTCCTGTTCGTGAACCGAAGCGGAGTTCGTGAACCGGAGCATATTTTATGAAATTTCTGTTCGTGAACCGAGTTGTTCGTGAACCGAAGCGTTCGTGAACCAAGGTATCACTGTATAGGTTTTGGGTCAGATCGCGTTATTTATAAATGTGTCGTAACCCTCCACCACCCGACACGGCCAAACAGTAAAAAATGTGTCGCGTTTTCAAAGGACAAATTAATTGACTTCTTTAGCCCACCGGTGTGCTGAAGAGAGAATCAACAGCATTTTAAAATTTGAGTAGTAGCGCGACGTTTCGCTGATAATTACAATCAGCTTCATCGGGTAAGAATGGTGAAGCTCTCCTGTTGCTTCCGTTCTTAAATAGAGCAGCATCAGGGTGACGTCATCATTTAATTCAATTCAATCTGGTGCAGTGATTCGAGGCAAGGAGGAGGGGGGAGGGTATTGTAATAATATAGATTGGTAATCATTCAATTGTTACTCATTGGTATTTGTTTCGTAAAAATTATTCGTCGTCGCCACCGCCATCAAGCGGCGTGACCAAGGGGACACTGGCCAACCTCTGTGGCCCCAAGCGGCCCCCCCCCTCTCCCGATGCTGCGAAATGTCACGTATCTGTACATCACTCCGAGTCGGGCCTCTGGCTACGCGAGCCACATTGTCGTCGCTACCCCCCCACCACCACCACCACCAACCGCCCGGCTGCAATAAAGACGCACGCGCTCACACGCTCCACCTCTGTGTCCGCCTCTAGCCAGCAGGCACGCCAGCCGACACTCGGCTTTGTTGAAAGGGCCCCACCAGCGAATCTGCGCAGCCTTTCCATCTGTTGCGTTAACCCTTAGGAGAGGCGATGGGGGGTGGAGGGCGAGGGAATTTAAATGTAATTATTTTTCTCGTGTGTATGCGCGTGTGCGCGTTGGTGGGAAGCGGTGGGGTAGCGGTCATAGGGCGGTGACATGGCGGCCGTGACGTAGCGATAGCAGGGCGGTTCGCGTTTAGAGATTTTTGCGGCCGCCCTGGTTAATACCGCCGTTTGCCTCCACGTGCTCGGAGCTTCTTCGGGTAACTCTGAGGTTCCCGCTCGGCACGTGGAGCGAAGCGTCGGTCACCGTGCCAAACGACGCGGGCGATGAGAGAGAATCGGGTTGTGAGATGGAGGGAGGGAGAGAGGGAGTCATTGGGGGGAGAGAGACCCAGAGGGACGAGGAAAGACCGAGCAAGGAGACAGACGAGGAGGGAGAGACGCAGAAAGCACATGGAGACCCGAGGTCACGTGGAGAGAGCCGGAGGAGTGGAGGACAAGGAGAGGCAGAGACACGGGGGGGGAGGCAGAGACACGATGGTAGACCAAGAGACGCGCACGCGCGGCACAGAGACACCATGGAAAGCGCGGAGACAGACAAAGCGACCAGACAGAGACGTTAGAGCCAAGCGGGAGGGGGAGAGACACGCACGCACAGAGCTGATTGCTATGCACACCTGCCCTGTGCCCTAAGCAGCCTTTGTGCAGCGCGGGAGGGGAGCGAGTCAGGCTTTTGTCCACGCTCCCCTGCACCCCCACCCACCCGGCCTCCCTTTCACGGCCGAATGGAAATGCCTGCACATTTGCCATGGACGACACCCCCCCACCACCCCCATTCAAAAGGCGAAATACGGCCTCCTCTAGGCTTCTGGCCATGGGCCCTCCTCTGCCCATAGGGTGGCGAGGGGGTGGGGAATGGTGGAGGGGGGGGTCGGGGGTCGGGACACCCTCTCCCCCTCCGCCCCCCCCCCACAATCGGAGAGCTGAACAGGAGCGAGAAGTTTGGGTCGCCGCGCGTTCCAACTTGGAAACCACGAGGGGGAGTGGCGACGCGTGAGCCAGAGGTCGCAACCGGGTACCCGATACCCGTACCCTACCCGATACCCGGCTCCCCGTACCTGGCTGGGTATGGGTAGCCGTTTGCGACCCTGGTGCGGCCGGGTACGGGTAGGCCGTGAGTCACCGGTGAGTAACCGTTTGTCACTCATTTCGGGTACGGTATGGGTACGGGTAGCGTACGGGTACCCGTACCCGTACCCAGCCGGGTACGAGTACCCATTTGCGACCCTGGTGCGGCCGGGTATGGGTACGGGTAAGGAATCAAAACCCGTTTGCGACCTCTGGCACGAGCCCACGAGGTTTGCGGAACGTGGCGGTGACGGAAATTCCCGTTCTCCCGTTAGCCGCCAACCTCTGTCTTTTAGTTTTTTCGATTTTGTTTTCAAAGTTTCAGTTTGTCGCCGCGGTCGTTTGGACCTGTTGAGTGAACGAATGACAAAAGCGGTCGTTGTTGCCGAAGCCGCGGTGTCGGCCCACGTTGTTGAGATGCCCCTTGCGGTGCATCGCTTGACACACCCCCCCCCCCCCCCCATCTCTTGACGTTCCATCTCACGGGGTCATCCGTGTCATATAATTTGGTTTAAAAAAAAAATGTATATGTTTAAAACGTAGGCTTTCGCGACCAATGTCATCCATAATAGAGGGTTTTTTTGGGGGGGTTCGATCGTGCAACCAAAATCAAGACCTCTTATGAATAACACTGGTCAACAAAAAAAACAATTTCTGGCCTGGACTTTTGCAGCTGTTTAGACTAATTTCAGAGTGTTGATTCCAAATCTGATCTCAGATTTGCTCTATCACATCTCATTTTATGCTATCGGCATACCCCATTTTCATTGATTTTACCCGAAATTTACTCTGTCACTTATGATTGCAAGTTGTTGCGAGTCAGTGACTGCTTTAGTGTTAAAATATGGTGCTGTATTTTTAGGATAGTGTGTTTATAATATCATTTTATGTAGATATTCACATTTATTTAATATTTTTCTTCTGCAGTTTTTATTGAAAATGCAATATTTGATATCTCAAAAACCTAATGTGATCGACAAAAACTGATTCCAGATTTGGAATCAGCACCCCAAAATTACCTTAAAACCGTTGGAATACCTTATGTCAGGAAAAGTGTGTGACCAGTGTAATTATATGCCGGAGCGGCTAAAAGGAAATGATCCAGATAGTGGTGAGTCTAACAGAAACACCGAATGTATCTGTTTCAACTAGACTAAACTAAAAACGTGTTTTTATTGTTATCAGGTAAGGCCCACTGAGCTATTTAACTCTTTTTCCGAAGAGACTTGGCCACAAGTGATAGCTAAACGACGTGGGCTCATCATCATCGTCACATGGAAATTTTAGCAGCCAAATGCGTGTCGTTGTTTCTGAATGTGGAGGGAAAAACCCGATGACCCGGAGAATAATCCACGGAACCACGGGGAGCGAGAGAGACACGCAAACTCCAAATATACAGCAGCAGGCGTCAGGGTCGGGATCGAACCCACGACCTCCTGTATACCAGGCGAGGCAGTTAACGTCTCCTAGCCCTGCGCCTCCCCTATGCAATTGTCATCGGCCAAGTAGCGGTGAACTCGACAATCGTAATCTCAATTTATCCTGGAGGAATCCGATAATAGGATCATCCGTTCCTTCACGTGGCGCCCACACCAACTCGGACATGGGGAATTCCACCGCACGTACGTACGCACGGACGTACGTACGACGTTGCCTTGATAGTAAATTTCTGTGGTCGGGCTGCAAATTTAACGGGGGGGAAAAAAACCGCGAACCAATATTGACCAATGGAGCGTGCACAAAAGAAAGCCCGTGGCATTTTTGCACCTGACGGCCGTCTGACGCCCCTGGGTTCAAATCCGGGTTGCAGTCGCCCAACCGCAGTGTGAAAAGAGACCCAATGGGACTCGGAGACCCATGGAGACCCAATGGGACTCGGAGACCCATGGAGACCCATGGAGACCCATGGAGACCCATGGAGACCCATGGAGACCCATGGAGACGCATGGAGACCCATGGTGACCCATGGTGACCCATGGTGACCCATGGAGACACATGGAGACACATGGAGAGACATGGAGACACTTGGAGAGACATGGAGACACATGGAGACCCATGGAGACCCATGGAGACCCATGGAGACCCATGGAGACCCATGGAGACCCATGGAGACACATGGAGACGCATGGAGACCCATGGAGACCCATGGAGACCCATGGAGACCCATGGAGACCCATGGAGACCCATGGAGACGCATGGAGACGCATGGAGACCCATGCAGACACATGGAGACCCTTGGAGACCCATGGAGACCCATGGAGACACATGGAGACCCATGGAGACACATGGAGACCCATGGAGACACATGGAGACCCATGGTGACCCATGGAGACGCATGGAGACGCATGGAGACACATGGAGACCCATGGAGACACATGGAGACACATGGAGACACATGGAGACACATGGAGACCCATGGAGATGTATGGAGATCCCATGGTGATCCATGGAAACTCCTGCAGACCCCCGAGACTCGCACGGACTTGCGTTGCGGTTGATACAAATTCTTGAGCGTAGAGAATCGATGGTCTCGGCTCGATGAGCAATGGCTGCACGGACAAAAATGTGGTCTGTGACAGAATTTCGTGCAAATACCAGAGAATCCGGCCCTGAGAATTAACCGATTAAAAATGTTGGTTTCAGTCCCACGGGAAATCCGGGTTTGGGTGACAGCTGGGGCGTTGCTAAAGCCTCCACACCTGTTGCCTCACGGCAAGAATGGCCTGGGTTCGACTCGGGGCGGCGCCTTGCTTGTGTGGATTTTGTAAGTTTTCCCCACCCCCCTAAGTTTTGACTTCAAACTTTCGTGACTGCAGGTTCTTTCGGTAAAGTCACGTAGACAGAAAGTAAAATAAAAAATAACAGATAATAAAATTAAGTAAATTTAAATAAAAAAATAGTAAATTGAAAATCATAAAAGCAAAAAACCCACGGCGTTTCGATCGCAACAAAAGCGGCCTTCATCCTCATCCTGCGTTGGATCTCCTCTGAATTCTCCACTTTCCTCTCCTAGCCAAAAAAGACTAGGAAGGAAAAGAACAACGCAGCGCACAAATGCTAACCTGCTTTATTGCCCCAAATCATTCCACCCGGAGGCGAGCGGCATGGAGGGGAGAGAGAGAGAGGGGGGTTCGGTGGCGTATTGTCCGCTTGGTTTCATTTTTAAGAAATGTTCGGTCCCGCGCTCGCTTTATGAGTCCGTTTTGCCGTGACGTTCCTCCGACGGGTTCTGGGCGATAACCACCCGGGGCCAGTCGCGTATCGAGCCGCGCTCCGTTTGCTTTCTCGCCGCCGTGTTTGCCGAGTTTTCTTTTTTGCCGTACCCCCCCCCCCCCCCCGCCCCCCCCCCCGCCTCTTGACGGCAAAGCCGTTATCGCCGTGGGCCTCTCTCGGTCCAAGGGTCCCGCGCCAGATTTTGAGCCGAGGTCGCGTTTTTTTGGCGCGCGGCTGACGATTAAAAAAAAAAATAGCCGTGGGAACAAAACAATGAAGGTTCGATTTGTTTTTTACTACTTCATTTGCACGAGAGGGTGACCGATCGCAAACGACGTGAATGTTCACCCCGCCGTCGCTGCGATCCGCAGTGCCCCGATGGCTGAACGCCGTTTTTTGCGTTCCCTTTTTAAGACGACTCCCTTCTGTAGAACTGCATTAGTGCAGTTGGCTACGTGCAGTGCGAAAGACGTTCTACACGCGCGTGCGTAGAGAGAGACAGAGAGAGACAAAGAGAGACCGAGAGAGAGAGAGAGAGACCGAGAGAGACCGAGAGAGAGAGAGAGAGACAGACAGAGAGACAGAGACAGACAGAGAGACAGAGAGACAGACAGAGAGACAGACAGAGAGACAGACAGAGAGACAGACAGAGAGACCGACAGAGAGACCGACAGAGAGACCGACAGAGAGACCGACAGAGAGACCGACAGAGAGACCGACAGAGAGACCGACAGAGAGACCGACAGAGAGACCGACAGAGAGACAGACAGAGAGACAGACAGAGAGACAGACAGAGAGACAGACAGAGAGACAGACAGAGAGACAGACAGAGAGACAGACAGAGAGACAGACAGAGAGACAGACAGAGAGACAGACAGAGAGACAGACAGAGACAGACGAGAGACAGAGAGACAGACAGAGAGACAGACAGAGAGACAGACAGAGAGACAGACAGAGAGACAGACAGAGAGACAGACAGAGAGACAGACAGAGAGACAGACAGAGAGACAGACAGAGAGACAGACAGAGAGACAGACAGAGAGACACAGAGGAGCTGAGAATTCGAACTTACACACACACACAGCATGTGAACTTACACACACACACAGCATGTGAACTTACACACACACACAGCATGTGAACTTACACACACACACAGCATGTGAACTTACACACACACACATCATGTGAACTTACACACACACACAGCATGTGAACTTACACACACACAGAGCGAGAGAGTGTGCGGGCAAATTAGCGCGGCAGCCCCCTGGGTGGATCTGAGAAGTGAGCTGTTAAGACAAAATATCTGGAATGCTTTTTGGGTTGCTTAACCTCGTGGGACTCCGCTTAGAAGAATAATAACAGTAATTATTACTGTTACCGTGGCTTCCATCGTACGATCTCAAGGCGCCTTACATCGGTGACAACGGCGCGGTGGGTGGATGGGTGGCAGAGGTCGCAACCGGGTACCCGTACCCTACCCGATACCCGGCTAGGTACGGGTACCCGTTTGCGACCCTGGTGCGGCCGGGTACAGGTAGGCCGTGAGTCACTAGTGAGTAACCGTTTGTCACTCATTTCGGGTACGGTACGGGTACGGGTAGGGAACGGGTACCCGTACCCGGCAGGGTACGGGTAGGGAACGGGTACCCGTACCCAGCCGGGTAGGGAACGGGTACCCATTTGCCGACCCTGGTGCGGCCGGGTACGGGTAAGGAATCAAAACCCGTTTGCAACCTCTGATCGGTGGTGGAGGGCCATTGGTAAGAAGTGGGCGAGTTTTTAAGAGGGGAAATGCTCCCTCTGAGAGAGCCGACATTTATTTGAGGCTGGAGGCTCGGAGCGTCTCCACCGAACCGGACTTCCTGTCACAGCCTCCGGCAGGAGACAGAGAGGCCCCTCGAGATACATGGAGACACACAGAGACGCGTAGAGATAGATAGAGACACATAGATGCCAATAGAGATACATAGACACAGAGACACGTAGATACACATAGAGACTCGTCGAGATACGTAGATAACCAATAGAGATACAGAGGCCCCTCGAGATACAAACACATAGTTACCAATAGAGATACAGAGAGACCCGTCAAGATACATAGAGACCCATAGAAATACACAAACGCATAGCAATGCACAGAGACGCACAGAGACACACACAGACCTACAGAGACACACACAGACCTACAGAGACACACACAGACACACAGACCTACAGAGACACACACAGACCTACAGAGACACACAGACCCACAGAGACACACACAGAGACATACAGAAACACACAGACACACCCATACTCAACAGGCATCTCCAGGGTCCGCGATCGAACTTCCCGCAACCTCCCGCTGGCGACGATCGCACCGCCGATGACGACGTTGCCGCCGTGTTTCCCGCCGTCCCCCCCCTCAGGTGCCGCTCGGGCTACGTGGGCGAGCGCTGCCAGCACGAGGACCCGTGCCGCAGCTCGCCGTGCCTCAGCGGCGGCTCGTGCCGCCCCGTGCTGATGTCGCGCGCCGTCTCCTATCTGTGCACGTGCCCGCTGGGCTTCGCGGGGCCCCGCTGCGCCTCGCCCGTCGAGAGCGCTTGCTCCAGCTCGCCCTGCCTCAACGGCGGGCGCTGCCAGCTGCTGACGCTCGCCACCTTCGACTGCCAGTGCCCCGTCGGCTGGGCCGGTGAGTGGCGGCGGCGGTGACGGTGGTGACTGTGACGGTGGTGACGGTGGCAGTGACGGTGGTGACTGTGACGGTGGTGACTGTGACGGTGGTGACTGTGACGGTGACGGTGGTGACTGTGACGGTGGCGGTGGTGACTGTGACGGTGGTGACTGTGACGGTGGCGGTGGTGACTGTGACGGTGGCGGTGGTGACTGTGACGGTGGCGGTGGTGACGGTGACGGTGGTGACTGTGACGGTGGTGACTGTGACGGTGGCGCCGACGGTGGCGGTGACGGTGGTGACTGTGACGGTGGTGACTGTGACGGTAGTGACTGTGACGGTGGTGACTGTGACGGTGACGGTGGTGACTGTGACAGTGGCGCCGACGGTGGCGGTGACGGTGGTGACTGACGGTGGTGACTGGCGGGTGGCGCCGACGGTGGTGACGGTGGTGACTGCGACGGTGGTGACTGCGACGGTGGTGACTGCGACGGTGGTGACTGCGACGGTGGTGACTGCGACGGTGGTGACTGCGACGGTGGTGACTGATGGTGGCGGTGGTGGCACCGACGGTGGTGACGGTGACGGTGGTGACTGTGACGGTGGTGACTGTGACGGTGGTGACTGTGACGGTGGTGACTGTGACGGTGGTGACTGTGACTGTGGTGACTGTGACTGTGGTGACTGTGACGGTGGCGGTGGCGGTGACGTTGGCGGCGCCGACGGTGGACCATGACACTCACCGCTTTAAATGTCCACGCGACGACGAGCCACTTGGTTGAGCCATCGTCTGTGATGGCCAGGGTCGCGACGTAGCAGCTCTGTGTTTGGCTTTGTTACCTAGTTGAAAATTACTTTTTATTTTTTTTGTAACTCAACTGGCAGCTCATAGATTTTTCACCTTTTTTCCGCTCGCAGGGGAGCTGTGTCAGCGGCCCGAGCCGTGCGCGTCCGCCCCCTGTGCCCACGGCGGATCGTGCACGGCGCTGGCGTCCCAGTACCGCTGCTCGTGCGCGCCCGGCTACCGCGGCGCCGACTGCCGCGCCGACGTCGACGAGTGCTCCGGGCCCGGCAAGCCGTGCCGCAACGGCGGGACCTGCGTCAACACCATCGGTGAACGCCGCACCGTCGGTGGTGGGGGGTGGGTGGTGGGGGGGGGGGGGGGTGGTGGGGGGGATGGAGGGAGGGAGGGGTGGAGAGGGAGGGAGGAATGGAGAGGGAGGGATGGAAATGGAGGGAGGTAGGGAGAGATGGAGAGATCAACCAGGGCAGCCGCTGGATTCCAACCGCCACTGCTGGTCCGCGTCACCGCCCCGTGATTAACCGACTCCTCTCTCTCTCTCGCCCGTACGCTTGCGCCCCCCTCCACCCCCCCCCCCCCCCCCCCCCCCGCCAGGCTCCTACGTGTGCCAGTGCCGCGCGGGCTACGGGGGGCGCGCCTGCGACAGCGCCCACGTGCCTTGCTCGCCCTCGCCGTGCCTCAACGGGGGCACCTGCCGACAGCCCACGGACGAGACCTACGACTGCACCTGCCTGCCAGGTGAGTGCGCGAGCGGTCGATGTGAAGGCCGCTTCCCGAGGATTCGAGATGGGAATCTTGAATCCCTGAACTGTAACTCAACGCCACAAACCCATAACCCCCCCCGAACAACTAACACCTCTTCTTGGTTCTTTCGGTAAAGTCACGTAGAAGGGAAATAATAGAATAATAGAAATAAAACATAATAAAATATAATTCTCACGACGTTTCGGCCACAACGCAAGAACAGGTCTGTCGGAAAGCCATTCAGACGCTCTCTTTCCGACAGACCTGGTCTTCACCTGAGGACGGCTGCTTGCGTTGTGGCCGAAACGTCGTGAGAATTATTTTATTATGTTTTATTTTTATTATTTTATTATTTCCCTTCTACGTGACTTTACCGAAAGAACCAAGATGATGAATCCCTGCAGTCACGAAAGCTTTAAATCGAAATATAATAATATTATATTAGAATATTATTGTATTATATTATTATATAATTCAATTTCATTATTTTATTATATTAGTTTATTTTAGAATGTTTTATTTTTATTATTTTATTATTTCCCTTCTACGTGACTTTACCGAAAGAACCAAGACGATGAATCCCTGCAGTCACGAAAGCTTTAAATCGAAAACTAACACCTCGGCCATAACTCGTGACCTCTCGTGCTGGGTGCCGTTCGAGCTGATACCGTCAAAGTGTCGCGACGGATAACTCTACTTCAAAAGGGGAATCCTGAATCCGTCTGTGCGGCGCTCTTGAAGTGTCGTCTCGTTATGTGCTCTGTTGGCTTGGGAGGCATCTCGAATCCAAAGGAGCTTTGCCCATCTTGTGGAAGTTGTAGAAGGGCTAGAGAGCTGAAGTTTGGCACGTTATCAATTCCGTCATAGACGTATGTCAACAAAACTCTTGTTTATTTTAAGGCCCACTACTGAGCTTCACTTAGGGGGGGGGAGGCCCAGGCCTGGTTCGGTTAATGGTCACCTGGTGTTGGTAGGCCGCGAGCGGGAATCGTATTCGGCTACGCCGCGTTTCGTCGCGCGGCGTGGCACTACCGGCTGTGCCACCGCTCCCCGCCACACACCGATAGCCGCCGTTCGCCAACGAAGTGAGGGTGACGTCAACCACGTTCATACACGCTCACACTCCACACGCAACAGCAGCAACAACAACAACACGTTAACCGTCGGTGCGGTACAATGAGCCGTTGATAAAGTCCGATGGTAACGGCGGCTTTTTACGCGCACTTTGTTTTGTTACTTACAGCGCACGGCACAAACGTGAATGGAGTTGTGGGCTGTTTTTTTTCTGGTTAAAGGATGTTGAATGGCGCGGCCATTTTGTCATATCCTTCCGCCCCGCTTGGCACAAAGTGGCATTATCAGGGGCGTGAAATTTTCCGGCTGGAGAAAGAGGGGGCCGGCGGCCGCATTGTAATTTTAGCCCCGTTTGCTTTCCGCCAACATTTCCTGCGATTGTTGTGGGGTTGATGATGATGATGATGATTTGATTTTTTTTCTCCGTTTGTTAAAACACCCCAGCGGCGACTCCGACCGTAGTCCCACAGTGCCCGGGCGCTCGCTGTCACGTGCTCCTCCCGTGTACATGGCGGCATGACGCTTTGGGAGGGGGGTGGGGGGGGATTTGTAATCTTAGGTTTTTTCGGTAAAGTCACGTAGGTAAAAAATACAATTAAAAATTAATAAAAGTAATAATAGAA